AGGCAATATAGATCTATAGCTGACGCGAATTAGGTAAATTTTACTTTAGATGGCTAATAATCTATTTTTACTAAATATAAACCAAAAGGTGGTGCTGTAATTCCAGCAGCATTTCTTTTACAGTGATTTAATATTTTCAACATTTCACTTGGGTCAGTGTTATGTGTTCCAAATTCGACCAAAGTGCCTACTATTATTCTTACTTGATTATGTAAAAAAGAAAGAGCAGATATCTTAATATATATGTGATTTCTATTTTGTATGATGTCTATAGTATCAATTGTTTTTACTGGATCTTTCGCCTGGCAATCCTTCGAACGAAAGCTTGAAAGGTCATGTTTTCCAAGTAAATATTTGGCAGCCTCACGCATGATATTTACATCAAGTGGTTTAAACACTTGCCACACATACCCAGCTTCCAAAACTGCAGGAGCGTAGCGATTAATTATTTTATATTCATAATACCTCTTTTTTGCTGAAAATCGCGCATGAAATATATCATCAACAATTTCTACATCCAGTATAGATACAGCTGTTGATTTCAAATGGTAGTTTATTGCGTTTCTTACTCTATAAAGTTCAAATTCTGCTTGCATGTCAAAATGAGCAACCTGTCCTAGAGCGTGCACTCCTGCGTCAGTTCTACCACCACAATATAAAGCAACCCTCTCACCAGTAAAATTAAATATAGCATTTTCCACTACTTCTTGTATTGAATTTACAGAGTGTTTTTGTTTTTGCCAACCGGAGAAATTACTGCCGTTGTATTCTATTACGATCTTATAACGCACGGTGTTAAGTTCAAGGTATAATATCTACATTACACTCAATTTATTCTGCTTTGCAAATTAGATTTTACTTGTTCTATGTTAATAGGAAGAAATACCTATCAGATCTTTTCATGAAGTGGACCTGGGGTTTGTAGATTGATTTTTCCTAACAGTTTGATAGTATAAGTCATATTGATCTGAACTATTATGCAGCTCTATAAGCCACTGCTATTATTTCTATTAGCTATATTGACTATCATAGTTTTTTATAACTCGTCATTACTTAGCATTACAGCAAATTG